GGGAGAGGGTGGGGTGACGGGCGAAGGCGTAAAATGTGGGGTGCTGTGGCATGCTGAGAGAACGTCGGAGCGAGCGAGTTAGTGGTGGGGAGGCCTGGGTGGGTTAGGGTGTACACTTTGTGCTAATTTTACAGATGTGAGAGAGTTCAGGGGGAATCCGTTTTGTTGGGTTTTTAAAACCAAAATGGTTTTTTTTTTTTTCCCATTGTTTTCTTTTTTGGTTTTTTGAGGGTTTGTGTTGGTTAAGCTGTCTAATTTATTTCATGTCCATTACCTTTTCGCAATTCTTAGATTCGGAAATTATTGGTTATCAAATGGGTGTTGTTTAAATTTATGTATCCGCAATATGTTGAGACTTTGATTGTATTTTATTTCCATGCTTGTTACGTTGTTCTTTATCTCTGTTGAATTTACGGTCCTGTTTGTCCTTATTATGTATAGCATTGCAATGTTGGCACGTGAGAGTCAGTAGACTTCGCTATAAGGATGTAGTGGATTGTCTGTCTTAGGGATGTTCATGTGTTTGTTATATATGTATTGTAGTGTTGTTGAAAGAATACCGGGTTTCACTCCCTCTCACCTTTAATTAGCTGAATATTTATGACAATGTGAAGAATACATTTTTTACTTCTGGTCTCCACTTCTTAACATTCTGTACTGCACAGATACTGTAGACGACGTGTTAGCACTATGGACAGGACCACCAGACAACTTTTATATTTGTTACACTGAGTATCATTCATCCCTACCCGCCCCAACATAATATTCACCACAGATAGAATGATGAACAAAATCTTTTAAACTTCTCCTTGATCTCACCATACGGCTTAGCACGAAACCATCTTGAATTTAATATATTCAGTAAAAACCCACACCAACGACCACATCTATACACAACATTCACACATCCCCCCACGACACCAAACACGCAGTCCTTCCATGCGATGGTGCACGATTCAGATTTCCAACATTAGTTCCCCAGGATAAACACAAAAATGAAAACAAACACAATAAAAAGATGCCCAGAATTGATGATGGAGACGACTGCAGACATGATTGACAAATAATAGTTCAAAAATACAAATGACACCAATATCCCAATAAGCACACTACTTCACACCAATGGACAGAAACACTACACGCCAATGTACTCTCACAATCGCCTTATATAGGACCCCTTTCTAATATAGCCTCCACACTCATTAATATTCGGTTCTAAAAGACTTCTTTCAACACATCTGCATACGGATGTTATACATACGAACACTATGCAACACTAAGACACAATCCACCTACATCCTTATCGGAGTCTTAGCTCTCACGTTGCAACATTGCAATGACTATTACATAGGACAAACAGCCGTAAATTCACACAGAGAATCAAGACACCGAACAAGTATGGAAAATAACGACTACCACAGTCTCACGACTTTGCGATCACCTAAATTTAAAACAAACACACATTTGAGACAACATAATATTCCGATATTCTAGAAATTGGAACAGTACTGGGAACAGAAATAAAATTAGAAGCCTTTACACATACACAACACCCTCAAAAAACAGAACATACCATGTCTTACCAAACAGATCCTGGAACTCTCTTCACCTCTGCTAAAATTAGCACAAAGTTTAACACCCCAACCCACCCCAGCCCTCCCCACCCCACTAACCTTCGCTCGCCCGCCGTCTCTCAAAGCATCCACCGCAACCCCCAAATTTTACGACCCGTGCCGCGCGAGCCTCGACCGCGCGTGTCGCGCGCGCCCTTCCCGCTGCCACCGGCTGTGCTCTTAAACAAGCACAACACGCTCAAAAATTCGCAGACTTTGTTTTCAGCCCAAGCTCAAGGTATTACGATCCAGTTGCTTACGCATTTGTATACAATAACCAACATTAATATTTCACATTGTATATTGTATTGTTTTTACTCCTGAGCATAATCGTACGCGCATCGAAATTGATCATTATGGAATTAAAAATATTATACCGACAATATCTCTATTTATTGATCAAAATAAAAAAGGTATCTACTTCACCAACAATCCAATTAATTAATAAGGGAGATTTAAATTGCTACTTAAACCATTTAAATGGTCCAAAGGTTAGAAAAGTTTATATATTCTTAGGGAGCAAAGATTGGACTTTTTTGAGAAAGGAAAAAAGCTGATTTTTACAACACATTTGCTAAGTCAAAATTATTCATTTTCAATTTTGAAGTTTTAAAATGTTAATTTTATGCAATTTTCAAAAACCGGAGAGACCATCAAAATTAGGACTAGCATCATATTTTTTACAGTCCCGTGATGTATCATATGTATATTAGGAGAATATTTGAAGAACAAATATGGAACGTTCTTTCTTTAGAAAAATGTAAAAAAAAATGTCGGAAAAACAGAAAATGTTACAAATATATCAAACCACCGTAGTAGTAACACATAGACCGCGTGCAGTTCTTGGTGGTCTCCCTCAGAGGATATTCAAAGCAGTTGCCGTCCTCTTCTTCGACCCAGGCTTCTTTGGATGCCTACCTTTGAGGCGGGTCTGGGGACCTTATTGAGCAGCCAAGCCTCGCAGGCGGTCCCCTGATGCGCCTGGGGTTGACTCTTACTTTCTCCGCTAGATGTCGATCTCAATTAACTATATCCGAGCAATCTGATTGGAAGAAAGTGAATCTTGGGAATCTTGATATTGTCGGAGGGATTTAATGTTGCCGGGCATCCGACAGGGTTCTTTTACGTGCCACAAGAGAGACATGGTTTCTGTGGATTTTTCATCCTTCGAAAATGATGAAACCCTTCGAACCCTTCGGGAGACCGGTCGGGAGTTTAGATCTAGTCCAGGATAAGGCGGTACCCCGCTGATGGAAGATACCTGGTAGAGGAAAAAACCCGCTAACCGAAGCCGGCGGTATGTCGGCGCCGGTTCTCACCATCTAACGGGGGAAGATCAGCATCACCTCCCGGGATAAAACATGCCCTACACTTTCGGAACTACAGATCTTAGCCATTGACTCGCCAGGACACTCTAATCAATCAATAATGTCTCACTCATACACATTAAAAGAGTAACTCGTAGCCTTCAAATGACTTCTTTCTTTGCAGAAAGCATTTTCGTCTGCGTTGCCATCATCTTGCGTGCATGTTTTTTTGCGAAATTATGTAGTATATTCTGATGATGAGACAGTCGGGTTCTTTGAATGATAGGGCCTTCCACGCATAGGCACTTCCTGGTAATCTAATCGTCCCTGTCAATCTACGCTTTGTCCCTTCTGTACAGTAGTTCCTAAAATTCCAAATTCACATCGACTCGCAAGTGGTGAAATACTCTGTAGGTTCTTCAGCTACCCTGAGAAGAGTATTTTTCCCGAGATTGTTCAGGTTACCTGTGTACTCGTCTTCGGAATTATCACTATCTTCATCTGTCCCTTCTCCTTCATCGTCGGGTGCAACGTAAGTCAATCGTTCACTTTTATCATATTTTCTCTCCAACTCTTCTAAAATGTATTTAACTGTAAGTCTGAGACAAACAGAATGCCGCGTTGCAATAGAAGAGTTTTAGACCTGCCATGGGCGCATGGCGTTCGATAAATGGAATAAAACAACAATTTCACAAGCTTAAAAATGGATGGTGATGTAAATTAAATATTATTAAATATAAAAATACACATTATTTGTCGAAAAATGCAGTCTAAAAGCTATATAACGTACCCGCTGCGCCTTATACGAAATCAATTTGTCGCCCTACAATCTGACATCGCAAACGTCTCACAAACCGTATTGCAACGACCACTTGAGTCAAGTTAATGCCTAAGCTAACAAAGATGACGGCTGATCGGCCAAGGCCCGTATATGGGCTGTTGGGTCAAGAACATGACAGTACAGTGCTTTAACAGCGATAAAGGGGTTGGGGCGTCAGTTGACAGAAGTCTGGCCTTAAAGATCACTGAAAAACCTTTCGAAGTTTTGCTGCAAAATGACTGCAGCTTGACATAAGTAAACAATATGTATCAGGTAACTTCGGAAGCAGGTACCTCAGTGCGCCGCTAGGGCGGTTATACGCATCCACAGGGAGCATCGAAGGATCCATTGTGTGTGTGTACGGATACCCGCGAACATATATGAAAGGAACATGTAGCCTCAAGAAGGAATTACACGTGCTAGGGTTACGTATAGGCATATTTAAGGAGATAAAATGGAATACAGAAGTAAAATTGAATAATATGGGTGTATAATTATGATATTTTTTTCAATACTACTTGCTGTTTCTTTTACGTTTTGTATCTATTTGCATTACATATATGCTTCATTATGTAGGCATATATCCGGTGGGATGGCCGAGATCGTTAGGGCAGTAGTACCGTAGTGGTCTCGGACCAGAAGACCGCGGCTTGGAGTCCTGCCTCGGGTATGGGGGTGTATTTGTGTATGTCTGTATGTATGTGCCGTCCTTTCACCTCCTCACTATCATCACCTTATCGTCCATACCTTCAGGGCTAACAACCTTGGGAGATAAAAATATTAGGATTCAGCTAAAATGCTGACCCCCCCCCCCACACACACACACACAAAAGGTAGCACAAAATAATATAGGCATACATGTCTCTGTACTGAATGCTCAAATAGTTTCTTACAACATAACTTTGCAAAAAAGTTCATATTAGTACAAATGTTCAAGAGCAAAGATGATCGCCAGGCATACAAAATGATCTTAGACAATAAACTGAAACCCCTCACCACACTGTTCTCTGTTTTTAATTCTGTTAAGGATATCGAACACTCTAACGACTATTTAACATACTCCCTTTTGTGTATAACAGGCCTCTGTTGCATCTCTGCCCATTCAAGAGAGACCAGTCCCATGTGCTCTCGCTCTGGCTCTCTTCAGCTGAATTTCTGAACAAAAAGAAATAAGTTAGCCATGAGATTATGCTACAATATGCAAGAACGTATGACGTAGCCGAGTTTTAAGTGTGAGCAGCAAGTTTGTGTGTCAATACTCAGAGGTTTTCCTGAAGGAAAAGCTAATGGAAGGACTCCAGAAGAGTGACAGCTTGACGTAAATAACCATGTAAGAATTTTACAATACAAACATTTGACTCTTTTTGCTATATTATTTATTATTAATTATACTTATTGTAATCATGTACCTCTTAGTTAAATGTTCAAAAACATGACGCCAACAAGATGTTAACAGACATATTGTTGATTGTGGAAGTTTTGTGCACAAAAAATTATCGTTGCTTGAAAGTCTCGTGCAAAACAAGTAAACAGTTGTTGCTTGATGACATCTGGTGCAAAGACACAGACTGTTGTTGCTGGAAGTGGTTAGTTCCCCATGGGAAATTTTCGTTTTCAAGAAAATTCCACTTGTTTGGTGGTGCCGGGCGCTCAATTAGAAACTCGTGCCCTGCTCCTCCTCGGGAGACGACTTGCAGCTGTGGGACGCTGAACGAGGTTGGTTGCAAGCTGCACGGCACAAAAGAATTCTAGCGTTCGGCAGATGTAGTACATTTGTGTGAGTAAATCAGTGTTTGACTAGCGACTGGCTCCATCTTAAACGCGTGTTAAGAATAATTTAATCACAGCTGAAGAGTAAAATATTTAAAGTTCATAATTCATTTTAATTACTTTGGAATAAATCCCTTTATCAATTAATATTGACTTTTTTTAAAATGTCTGATTATTTTCTTAAAAATTAGGGTTGATTTTCTCATGTCTTTAACTTCCGGTGCAATATATTTTGATGATAGGCATATATGACAAATATTTTATTAAATTTCTTTATTTCTTTCCCTGTCAGCAGATCATGATTTTCAGAAAGTTGGACTGGTACACCATATCAACATTTTAGATTTTTATCCTAATTTTTGCTACTTTTATTTTAGCTCACTGCAATCTTTGCCTTATGGGAATTATACATTTAGTTTAATTATTTTGCATGTTATTTTGGCGGGATTTGGTTTTAAACAGCATTGAATACATTTAGCTTTGCTTTCTTGTTCATAGACGTTGATATAAATGAATATGGTGTTCAAAAATCGTCTTTAGGGAAGCGGGAATGATTATTATTCTTGAGTTTGTGGATTTGTCAAGGTTGAAAATAGGAGTGCAAGGTATGAACTGTAGTTTGGAATGAAATGATTCATTTATTTTTGACACATTTTCAGTAATTGGAGCAATTGACAATTCATGATGTATTTGGTCATTCATAATGAACCAAGGTGCCTTAATTAAATTGAATTGATTTTGCCTTATTTTACGTGTCGAGACTCGGGCCATTAGGCCCGCTCTTCCGTCTGACCACGCAAATTTCGCTACGCTCCTTTCATCAACTAGCAGAGAAAGGAGGTATTTCTTGGGCGAGAAACAGGCGAGTTGAATTTAGCTCAGAGGCGTCATATAGGCTTGAGGATCTTTTACATGCAAGTAAATCTACCAACATGGGACAGCCGGCTTTACTTCCCCTCTGAAGGAAGGCGTACGAAGGATTTTTTCGCCCTTAAAAATCCTCGATCGGGTTTGAACCCGCCAACTTGGGTACAATAGGCTGGCACGCTAATCGTTACACCATTGCCGTCGCTTTAATGTCACAGACCTGATACCCAAGTCGGTATAAGAAACGCTATTTGGAAACCTATGGTTGCTAGTCTCCCATTGTGCGTTGTCGCCCGGTAACGAATTGCTTCCTTGAAAAGCAACCAGTTCCCGTCCACCACTAATCGGCTACTTCGGCGCGAAAACTCTGCATTCGAGGCGACATGCACACCTAGTCACTGAGATCAGCGGAGGACACGATGAGGCGAGAACCCAGGACGTGAGGTAACATTGACGTATACGATGAGGTGCAAATCCTGTATTATAGAACGACTTTCTTAAGAATGGGATAAAGTGACAGTTCGCAATACATGTGAACATCACGTGTACTTCAGAGAAGTAAACACGTGCACCGTCACGAGTACGCATCTCACATTCAAAACTCGATTTTAAAACTAACATAATACTTATCACATAAAAACTAAATTCAATGTAATTTTCATAAAAAGAAAGAATTTTTACAGAAGAGGACAAATCTCTGCACTTCCTAATTTCAATTATTTCTCGTGGCGCACTGTGTTTTCGTCAGACGATGACATCACAGCCAGGGAGCGTCGTAACTATTTACAAGTTAGCCAACTGCAAACGAACGAATGGAGGAAGGAGAGTCTAATAAGTTCAAGAACACAAAGACCACAGAATCGTCAGTTGTGTTGCCAGCACTAGCTGTCAAATCATCCCATCCTTAAGAAAATCGGACAATATTTCACGCGTACACACGTATTACATTCACGCATGTGATGAAATGAGTGCGCAGGAAGTGAATATTTACATACCTGCAAACAATGAGGTGAAAACGCAGTGTATGATTCAGGTGATATTCAACAGCACGATAATGCGAGAAATCAGGACGTGATGTATTACCTTCACCCGTTTGATCAGGTTAGAATATGAGATGTGAATAATTACTTTTTGCGCCTACGATGAGCCGAGAACCCAGAAATATTTACATTCATGCGTACGATGAATGTGGTACGATGAAAACACGAAAAGTGGAGTATTGTATTTATGCGTACTCAGTGGTGTAGTGTGAGCGGAGCCGCAGTAGACAGACTATATATTGTAAAAAACAGAAAATATTTAAACTATATGAAATGAACTTCGGACCAGCAAAGTAGAAATTGATAATTGTAGAATCACGACCATTGATGAATAATAAAATTAAATTGGTTCACGGGATTGGTCATTGACGATAAAGAAACAATTAGTTGTGCCAACATTTCGAAATATTTAATGTCTTCATCAGGGTTTACTAATAATCATAAAGATAAAGTCTCATTTCAAGCCACCACATGGAGTTGCTGGAGCACGGGGGTCTAGCGCACGTCAAGTGTGAATCGGGCCAAGGCCATAACCGCAAAATGAGCTGGAATTTTATCTATGATGATGCCATTTCCGAGAAAACAATGATAGTGCTCATCGTTTTGAAATTAAAGAAAGATTGTACTTGTAAGAAGCAGATCTTCCCCTGCTAGGCATGTGTGGTAGTGTAATGCATGTGAGGGTAAGTCTGTGTAATGGATGTGGATAGGACAAGGAAGGGGAAGGAAAGATTGTGCGAGGTACGTAGCCCGTTAGTTAGGGTACTGCTCCGGCATTCGCCTGGGATTGATCACAGAAATCCCGGAAAACTATTGATCAGAACAGACGCCCGCTAGAATTTTCCTCCAGACAGCGACTGAATTCCACCTGGCCCAGTGTCGACAATGCTGTCGCCTTAAGGACTTGAACCTAGGACCTCCCGATGCACTACAGAGACATTAGCTGCTGCCCTAAGTCACCTCTGTCGGTGGCTTTTTGTTGAATCGTTAAGCCATAAGGAAGCACTGTTTTTATTCTTTTTCAGGAACAAAGCGGCATTAACAACTTAGTCGCTCAGGTTCGTTAAGGAAAAACAAATCACCATGAACCAGGACCTGCACGGGGTGTGCGATGCGAACGTCATTGCAGAAGAAAATACACAGGTAATTCAAAATATCTATGGCTATTTATGTTGCATGAACATCAATTACGATACCCTTACATAATTATACTAATAAACATGTGTAGTGTTAATGAATGCAATTAGTTTATTAATCTCTAATAATTGTGATCCATGTGTCTCATTGCCGGTCCTTTTACAAAGCAAGGTGCAACTGCGGAGAGGCCTTTGTGGCGCATCGTATTATTGTACATTTTGTTTTCTTTGTTAACTTTGCAACGCCATAAACCATTCTTTTACATTTGTCTACTCATTCCGCAAAATGTAGACTGAAATTGACTGAAATTGATATAGTTCTTAGAAGGCCATAGATTATTAGAACTCTTATATTTAATAACTCTTATTATATGACACTGATCTCAGTGTCTTAAAGTTTGTCTTCAGATAACTAAATATAATACAAAAATGATTTGCTCGAGTCGGGTTTTGAAGTCGTGCGTTTGGAAGAAATAACTCTCTGACTGAGCAATGTCGCACACTGGCGGACGAAAAACAAATTACTTGTGTAAACACCTCTAAGAAAATTCTTTTGTGGCTCATTGAATAATCTGCCACCGGTTTGGCGAAAAAGTAAACTAAAGATAAATATTGATGTCGTGGGTTTCCCTACACGAAGTGAAGCGCATGCCATTTTCCAAATGACGCCGCGTTGAAGGCTATGATAGAAGTGTTTCAATTATTCTTTCGTGATCTTTTTATAGGCGATCTTGAGTTTTCACCCTCATCATCAAGTTTAAGCTCTCAAAAAGAAATTACAAACAATATTTTGCCAAGTGTTGAACAAAAAGGAGGTAAAATAATAATAAAAAACGGACTACAGAACACTCATTGTGAACACACAATAATTGTTCACAAGTCAATTGCTAAAAGAATTCTACAATGTTGACACAAAGAACAAGTTTAATATTTATTTAAAACAACGGCTATACTTTTATTTATGTTTTATTTTGAAACTATTTAATTCTCCACAGGATTTTGAGCACTGCAGTACTTTTGGCGAGTGCGACTCTACCATGACCGACATCTCCTACTCTAATGTCACTACCAGTCGATCACTGTCGGAGTACTATTTGGCGGAGGTGAGTGGAGTAAAAATGAAACCACAACTTATTCCTATGCTTCGTTCCGGACAGACAACGGTTCTTTCGACGGGTTCAAAAACAGCTGAGCACCCGCCAAAGACGGTATTGATCAGCGAACAGTATTCTTCCTTCCACCAAATGCCAATGCCAATGCCCGCAAGTGGCAGTTCAGAGCGTACAGTTAATTTATTGATTGGTTGTTCGTGAATCCGGGCGCGTCAACTGCGAAGATCGTTACTTCCGTAATTTTTTTTCCTCTGGAGATGGCGCTCTGCATCCCTGAATGGCGAGATTCGGCGGTGCCCCGGCTAGCGGGGTGCCTCGCACCACCGGGGCACCGCCCCAGACGGGGCAAGCTCTAAGCTAGCAAACGGTCTCCCGGCATGCGTGGTAGTATAGTGCTTGTTAGTACAACAGTGTGTAAGTAACTGGGCGAGGATAGGACAAAAAAAGAGGAAGGAAAGATCGCGTGCGGTCCGTTCGTATCGTTAGGGTACTGCTCCGGCATTCGCCGGGTGTTGATCGGTGAAACCACGGAAAACTAACGATCAGAGCAGCCGGCGGCTAGGATTCTCCTCCAGACAGCGACTGAATTCGATGTAGCTGTGTAGCTAGTGTGGAAAATCGAGCCATCGTCGGGACTCGAAACTAGAACCTCACGGTCAGAGGAACAACAATGACGCCAGTTGATGCCCTTGGCTGCCGGTTTGGAGTTAATTATTGTAGAGAGTTTTCACTAATGTTTTACATTGTTCCAGTATCCGTACTAAATATAATATTGTAAGAATAATTACAAATGGTGCTGAGAAGCAAATGAATATATATATATATATATATATATATATATATATATATATATATATATTCATAAATATAAGGGACATTAAGACATTCAATAAGCTCAGAGATAAATTGATGTAGGAATGAAAGAGTATGTAGGTTCTTTCATGACTTTTGGTTTCCATCACTGATTGAAAAAAAACCTGTTAATCGGTACCCGTCGCTAACGTTTCGTTGATTACCTCACAGGACGATTCGGATCAGAGTTTTCTCGCGCTGCGATCTTCGTCAACGCCGCACTTGTGCGCAGACCCCGGAGCGAGGCGTCTCCGCTTGTCGGATTTCATTCACCTCAACTGCGATGACCTCTCGCCGGATCTGTTGTATCTGGACCAGGTGAGTCAGTGGCATTTTCACGGCGATAGTGTACGTACAGTGTAAGGGAGTTTCCCGTGGTGCGAAGAGAAGAGAATTCTGCCCATGTCATGTCGGTTATAATATATTGAAGCCATTGTTCCCTATGCTGGGATAAATTAAATTCACGTGAGCTTATCCTGGAGAGCGTTGTTCACTGACAACTGATAATATTTCAGTTAGGTGCAGCTAATTCTTACAATACTAGGTAATACCATCGGGCGTCTTTCAATCTATAACATAATTTCCTGCGTTCCAGCGATTGTACAAGTATTGTACAGGGTCGTAATGAACAAAGGCGATTCTTGTACATTTTCGGGGGGGGGGGGGGGAAGGAACGGATACATGTATATTACACAGCCGGCATGATGTTTTCCCATAAAGAAGTTTCCCGGTACCCTGAATATAAAATTATTTTATAAGTTTTATTTTGTACTTTTTATTATTTTGCCTTTCATATACTTACATGAGTGGAATACCAGGATATTTGGATTAAGTAAAAGATCTAATAAATAAACTAGAAATATGAAAAATAAATTGTTTTATTGAAAATATTTTCAATTTCTAAGAAATATTACTAGAGTAGGTTGATGTTCTGTTTCTGAAACAAATTATTTAATTAACACACAGATTTAGAATTAATTTTTTTCTCAATCGCTGATACGGAGAATGGTTTCTACCGTGCCCCTCAAACGACTCGCTGAAACTAAAAGAGTTTTGGCCTATGACTGAAAAAAGGAAAATAAAACCCACTCTTCAGGATGTGACATTTCTCGGAAGAGACTTGCAATTGCTAAGTTGTTTTTTTTATAAAACCAGGCAAAAATTCGTTTAGGGGCTTAAACTGAATGATTACTTGGACATCTACAGTCGTCAACAGTTTAGAAAATAGATGAGTACTATTATTGCGGCTCATTATTATTGTATGGTGATCTTTAATTACGTTCCGAACGAGTGAGCATGGAAATAGATGATGTGGTATTGATAAATGGATACATCGCTTTTATTGTAGCATGATTCATAAATATTTGGAATTATAGGTTTGGCTGATTTGAATCTTGGGGGCTGAAAAAATTATTTCTCTAAAAGTTTATTTCCTTATTCTCCTCTCCATCTCTTTAACACACAAATGAACCAGTTTTATTTTTAATATATTTATAGATCTAGTTTTACGAATATATTATCCACCAAGGAATCGTGCCATTGAATGGAAAAGTTTTCTTTGTACTGCAGACAATTGCTGACAATTCAATGCAAATGCATCTTTGGGCTACAGACAATATCAATTTCAAACTAAGAATTAATGTCTTTTTATGTATACCTTACAAATATCACTAATTTTATGATTAAAATTATTAAATTTAAACGAAAAAAGCTCGGAATTAAAAACAAGATATTTTGAAAAAGGAAAACTGAAAGAAAGAAAAATGTCTGCATTTGTAAGTGTAAAAGATGTTTACAATGCTTTTTACGAGAACCATGTTTTGGTGTTTTATCCAAGTAGATCCTAATTGCAAAATATTTTTTATAGTGGGATCTGAAAGCTGCAAAATCTTGTCTCTTGTCACCATGGTTGGAAAAATCTGGAAGTTGCATTTCGTAAGTACTCAAATAAGATAATAATATTCACGGTTTTAAGTATAAAACGAAACGATATTCTTAGAAAAGATACCAATTGTGTAAAGTTTCTACGAATTTATTGTATAATATTTAAGTTCGTTTAAAGAATGATTTTTTTTTTAAAACATTTTGAACTGCTTGGAGTTTTGAAGCATGACGGTGACATTTGGAACGGAATGAACAAAAATTTATATATTTATATTCAATGTTATTTGTATACAAATAAAATATATAATTAAAATAGTGTGATGCAAGGTACAATCAAAAAGTAGTTGGACTTATTTTCTGTATGTTCAGACCAAACCTACGTGGAAGGTAGGACCAGGCGTGGTGTGGCCTGCGTGCCTTTCAGCAGTGAGGCACACTGTTTTTTCTATTTCAGCATGGAACGGATTCTCGAACATCACTATTGCGAAAAGTTTTGCTTCAAACTCGAAACAAGCAACTAAGAAGCCTTCAACAAGATCAATAAGGTGTACGGGATGCTCTCATGAGCCGCTAGAGGGTTGTTAAGAGACACGTTGTTCTGGGAGGGGGCAGGGGAGCTCGTTGAGAATGACCAACGCCAAGGTCGCCCGTCAACATCGAGGGTCGACGAAAATGTGAACAAAGTGAAACGACTTCTGGACTCTGATTGTCGGTTATCGATTCGTCTGGTTAGTGAGGAGTTCAGACTTTCTTACGGCGCTATTCAAACCATCATTACAGAAGATTAGCAATGAGTGCGCGAAAAAGCGAACCGTGTGGAAATTTCAACAGAAATGTTAAACTGTATTAGAAAAGAAACAAATTTAGTTACCAAACACGAAACCTGGTGCTTCCAGTACGACACGGAGACGAAACGTCACAATGCAGAATGACACGCGAACAATACATGTACTTAGCTTTACAACGCACTGCCAGATGACATTAAACAATTGAAGTCGGTTCACAAATTTAAATTAAAAGTAAAACGTGCTGCATAACTGTTTCTATACTGATCTATACTGATACTGTTCATCAAAAAGAAAAATGTTCATTTTAACAAAACAGTGAAATATAATGAATTAGTTTACATTTGTATTGTATATTTTTTTAAAGACTTAATATGCGTGTAACAAATAATGTACTTCAGCTTCAGGGTCAATGACCCCATATCCATCAGGTTTTTGTCCAGTTTCCCTGATCCACTGAGCAAATGCTGAGACGGCCCCTTGTTTTGCTTCTGGACGTAAATGTAGCTTCACTATACGCAGGTTTTGTTGAACACTGCTTTTGCTTGTAATGGTAAGAGTGGAGTTTTCTATAACTCAGAAACGAAAATGTATATTTTTTCAAATATTGCTAATCTTGCGATTTTTAAAATGTATTTTAAAAAATTTATTTATATTTATTTATGTTACACTTTTACTCATCTTTCAATAATATATAATTAAAATGACAGGAAGGGATTCTGGAACTCAACAAAACGTGCGCAGATAATCTTCCCCCCCCACGTCGCATACAGTTTTTACTGTTTTTAACTGAATAAATCTATATCTAAACCTAAACAAGTCTTCCCGTTCGAAAAAGGCCCGTGTGAGCTCGTCTTGGTTGAAAACCATGCTTCTGGTGTTTTTTGATGATCGTGGTGGCATCCACAAGGAGTTTTTCCTCCCTGGGCAAACCACAAATGCACAGTTTTACGCGGAAGCGGTCGATCTCTTACAAAAACGAGTGAACCGCGTGCAACCAGACACCCTGGAGGTTCCTGGGAGCTCCACCGTGTCACATTGCTCTGTCGGCGCGGGAGCGTTTGGCATTGTAAGGCGTTGTCAGCCTTCTTTCAGCCCAGCTTCTATAGCCCAGGCGTGGCCTCGCCTGACTTCTCTCTCTTGGCCTCCTGAAACGCTCCCATGAAGGGACAGCGTTTCGACTAGTTCGAAGACGTTCAAGCGGCTGTAATGAGGACCCTAAGCAGAATTCCTGCAAGAGACTTCCATAAGGCGTTCGCAGCTTTGTAGACGCGTTATGCTCGGTGTGATGAAGCGCAGAGAACTTTCTTTTATGATTATTAATAACTTGCACAGATACGTGCAATACATATTTTTTAATAAAATGTTTTTACTGATTTTGATCGTACCTTGTAATTATGGAATACTTTCACATTCTGTATGTCAAAAAAGGTCAAAACATAATTCTGAATGCATTTCGAACCCTTCCAGTTTTCAAATATAATTATTTCGTTGAGCGAATGATAGAATTGATGCAAGAACCGTAGTATAACTTTTCAACAAATAAACAAATGAATGAACAAGTATTTATTTACACTTTGGACTAATACATCATATCATTACACATAACCTTCAATAAACAACTTACCCTTAAAGAATTTAAACATGAACCCAGTTCTTCCAAGAAATTGGAATATACATAGTTCAACAAGTAAAGATTACATATTAATTCCGTTGCAATGGTGTTTTGAGAATGAACTGTGGAATTTGAACGCCTTTTCACAGGTAATTACTTAAATTCAATGTCTTCCTAGAACTATAACTTATTTTGGTGCAAGCTCTTAGATATTTCTTTGAAATAAAAGTATAATTTAAAATAAAATTAAAAAGAGCCCAATGAAGATATTGTAAAAATGACAGATTCATGCTGCTTTCGGTAAAATAAGTATATAAGTTTGTTTTCATTTCATTACAGAAAAATGTTTAATGTTATACATACATAACGAATCAAAGGGAATATGTAATCTTATTAAGCAAAATAATAAATTTTAGTATTAACTTATACTTAAAGTGAAGAAGTTGATCTTCAAAGTTTTCTTGTATTTAGACAATACTCTTGTTAATTTTGGTTTCAATTAGAACATATTAAAAAAAAACATATATTTTCTATTTATATATCTTTTTTGTACATTTTTAAGAAAGAAAAACAAATAAATAAAACAAAAAAACTTTGTTGCTTTCATCTCACTCCCCCAATTCATTTTTAGTTTGTTTACGTTTAATCAAATAAGGGAATAAAAACAAAATTATTGTAAATGCAAGACAAAGACACAAATTTTTAAAATCTTCTTTTAATGTCTTTCGAGATGCTGCTTTATCCTATTCGGAAATAAAAGGAATAAAATAAATAAAGTGAGCGAAATTTCAGGTTTGTTTTATTTTAAAATGTATTTTTCATTACAATCAGATTGACCTTGCATTGCAGGTTACCAGATCTTTGCAGCCATTGCCCTTGGCCTGATCCAGAAAACCTGCCTCCTTGGGCGCAGGTACGTATCTCGGTATGGTATAAAGCAGGCCTGCACAGTCTACTGCACTGTGACTGACCTCAGGCATCGCGCGCGATCGACTTGCGTACACACCCGGACCGCGTGGAAGGATGGAGATGAGATTCGTTGTAGGAGTGGAGACCGCCAATCGCAATTCGCAATTCGAACCGCAACGCGTAAATTGAAAGAGCAATTGAGAGAATTGACGGACTGTTACGCACAGTTCAAGTATAATTCCCTTCTATTTTGGAAATATTTGTCGATTTATGACAATGTACTGAATTAACCTAAAATGAATTAGGAATGCATATTAGATTTGGATAACTTAAGTTTTATAATTGCTTGTAGGGCAGAAAATGTAATCCGCTTTGCTACCATGTGATCGCTGATTTGGCGTGCTGCTAAATACAAAATTGTAATATTGAATCTTTTTCGTTGGATGATGGCATTAATAAATTATTTTTTATTTACTATGGTTAATTGAATAAGACGTACTATTGAAGCGAAAAAGTATTCTAAAATATTCATGGTTATATTCTGCTTTAATTTCCGACAAGAGTATATATTTCTAATTTTAAATCAACGAACACTATTTATTCATAATCATTTACGACGTCATATAAAAAAGATTAAGCCGTTTGCGTTCTATTTAAAACGGAAAGTAATTTCATTTTGCCAATAAAATATCGAATAATAAACGAGGTTGACTTATTGGTTCCACTTATTCAGCTACATTGTGATGAAAAATGGTCACAAATATGTGCTGCTAAACATTCCCCTTCTTGGAATTGCCTGTTTTTAATTTCTATACCAATATTCATATGAGAGACAGCTCTCGAAATTCGTCCTGTATACCATCAATTGAAGACTGTAACATTCTTGGTGTAAATCAACTATTAAATTGTAAATTTTTGTTAGTTCAAATAACATAATATATTTTGAAAAGATGCCACTGCTGTAAATGTTGTTTATGAGTTACAAAGAGCAAATCATTTTTTTAAATGATGATACATAGCAGTGCACAGAATAACATAAACAGTGAAATATGGCCCGTGTAGCTAGAAATACAGGAGACGGCCCATTGAAATAAGTGAGAAAATAATTTCACTGTATGGATCAGTGCATTAGGTGCCCAGGATTTCAATCTACGCGCTGCGTCGACCCCGTTCCAATTTCTCCCCTCCCCGCAAAGCTCCCCACCACTTGCATCTGCTCCGCTCTCGCGTGTAGATGGCTGGAACTTAAGTGTTGAATGCCCGCAGAAGCAGGCGTTGCGCAGGCCTGATATAGAGGATAATAACAGAGCCAGGGGAACAAAATTTAACAAATAATTGTGTACTCATAACAATAATTTACAAAGGCAATTCGTTAACCTTATCTCGGCTAATACAATCTTCCGAGACCAAAAAACAAACAAGCAGCAGGCCAATGTTTATAGTCTGTACATGAACAAAGTACCAAGTTAGTAAACCGAAGATACACAGTGAAAAAGATTTCAACGTTTTTCTAAATTCCAGCAGGTAGGGTAGAGAAATTAAAGTGCCCGCTTTAGCAGTAGTGGAAATTTCAAGCACAAAACGTGTAAAACGAGTATTGGAGACTTTCCACTAGCTGCAAACGTTTTATAATGTACAGGTCATGCCTTCTAGTGGCGAGATATAGAACATTCTTTTCCATTATATAATTTGTAAAGATTTGTACGTTGAAAACAACGTATTAACATTGGCATTGCAGTAATGTAACATGAACTAGTATTTTTTTCGGATTTCAAATATCTAAAAAACGTTCAAGGGATAGAATAGAGAATGCCCAATACTGAGTCAGGCTATTACCAAACTTTTGTCAGTTTTAAGTAGCTTTTACTGGACTAATTCCGGTTTAGAAATAAATTAATAAAAATAACAAATAGACAACTTTTTAGAGGAATCTCTTTGGAAAGACGTATATTATTCTGTAGTTTCACGTAACTTAGCAGTGCAATTCCAGAGCATTAAGAAAACAACAATAATGGCTACCATTGCCTCTTCGCTTTTAGTCTAATGAGGCCAGTGACACACAATCGTTACATTGTCGCTCGCCACCTAACGCTAATCAGCTGCGTTGATGCCTGCGCATACGAGTCACTTAACGCGCGTCGTTGATTAACACTGTATCTTGTGCGATCTAGCACACGAGCGTTCTTAGCGACATGCGTTGTTGCCAACGCGCGTCGCCTAGCGTGACACAGGCCCAAATGCCTCTGCCGGTTGTGAATACTTCTGTTTTCGTCCTCGGAGATGACTTCTCTGCAGGCTCAACATCACGATCCTTGACGTCACGTGGTTCTCTCTGCCTCCTCCCTGCTTAGGCAGAGGGTTCTGTTCCTCGCTTACGTATCAGGTGTATCTGTCATGAAAGAAAACAGTTTTGATCCTCAGTTCTAAATTAACAAACATTGTGGTACTTTACATCTCATACAGCAAGTAATACGTAAGTAATATGAAGTGAATTGAAACCATTGAAATTAATCCTTACTGATCAGTAGTTATTTTTGAAAGCCTGTGTTCTTGTAGGATTTTAAAAAAAAATTATAGTTACTTTTTATAGTGTATGTAGTGGGTAGTGAAAATGAATAATTAAATAAGTCAACTACAGACAACATTCGACAACTTGTAGATACAAAATGTTATAAATGTGTACCCAGTTGTGAAAAGACGATTGCGGTAGGGTTCAGACACCGGTTGATAGACTTCGCGTAACGTTCCTGACGCCGCCGATGCATTCAAGGCATCAGGCCACTTTGCAAGAGCTGCGAGGGCTGCGCCGTTGCCTAGGCAGTTTTCGGAGGTCAGCGTTTCGACCCACGGGCGTCTCCGGTTTGGTCCAATCCTTGGATTTTGCTCAGACAGAGGATAAAGCACTTGACGCAGTCCAGACTATCGGTTTCTTTTCGTGATGTGGAGGGTTGAAATGCGAGCGACGGACGTTTGATCGTTGGTCCCAGCAATCTTTCTTCCGAGCGTGCATGTATGTGTATGCCTGTGAGAGAGAGAAAGAGAGATAAATAAAGAGAAAGAAAAAGAGAGAGATGAAAGAAAGTGATAAAAGAAAAAGTCATGAAGAGAAAAAGAGAAAAAAGAGTGTGAGAGAAAGTGAAAGAGAGAAAAAGAGAGTGAGAGAAAGAGAAGAAACAGTGTGTGTCTGTGTGTGACGCGCATGAATGGCCGTGAGCGCTTGTGTGGAAGTGCGTACATGATATTTTATTTAATTAATAAGCATTTTGCTACATCATTAACGACAGTAAGTTATTTTCTTTGCGTGAATGGTGTGAACGACATTATTTTCATTGAAAATAACGGTATAATGTCGGTATAACGTTAATAGACGTCCGTATCGGTATACACATCCTATAAAGATATTTTACCGGTATATAAGAATAAAGGAATTTTATAGAGGTATAAAACATACCAGTATTTTTACCGATATTCAATACCTTTTCAGTCCCTTGCGCATTGAAATCGCAATACTGATGAGTCAAACGTGTTGAAAAGTTGAACTTTTGTAGTGAAATTATTAAAATGTGCATACATTTTTTCGTAAACATTCTGATACAGATTTAGAACATGTTTTCAAAATTTCAAAAGATTGTGCCTCTCACACATATCAATAAAATTAATACATTCCAACGAGAAAATTTTCCTGAATGAAGTGATTTAAAAACTATATCCTGCCTAAATTATTTACATACTTCTTTAATTTGTTGAATTTTTAAAAAAATGATATAGTAAATTGTTTCAAAAATGAAGAAAGATTTCTAGTTAATAACCTCTCACAATCAAATATTAATAAAGTACCTGGGTCTGAGCATTTGTAACATAATGCAACTCTTTCTGTTTCTACGAATACGTACGAAACACGTCTCAATGTGAATAACCGTGATAACGAATAATTGCAGAAGCGTGAGGATCTGTAAGAAAAATTTTGGTAAAACAGTTTTTAGATAAATCACGGTCTGGGGCATGGAGCGATTGTTCATAACTTCTACCCAGTTCTTCAACCTTTCCTCTCTTCTCTTGAATGTTTTAATGTTCCGGAGCCTAGCCTAATAATTAATTTAATCAGAACTTGCGATTACTGCGCTCCTTTGGTTATGTCCGGTTTAACCGACAGAGGTAAAAATGGAATGGATTCGTTTTTACTAGTTCACGCGGCGGGACCCGCTCAGTTCACGGGTCAAACAGAATGTGGAAATGCGTATGTTGTCTACCGTTCTTGCTTGGGGCCTGACGCGGAATAAATGAAATGCCAAGCAATTTGCGGGAGGAGTCGTAGAACATAGAATTTATGTGCTTCCCTTCTTCAGTTTACGCTTTCTGCAACGATGGTATAATAATAATAATAATAATAATAATAATAATTAATAATAATAATATTAATAATAATGTCGCACAATATAGCAATTATCAAGAATAACAAGTTAAACTAAATTCTCTCGCTTCGTATTATTTCATATTCTTTATGATATTTAATCGAATATAGCTACCGTGCTAGAAATCGTACCCTCGGAATGCTAAAGACCATGGACATGCGTACTAGGCAATATTCCGGGAGACGACGGGTAACGAGATATACATCGACTCAGAAGGATATTTTCCTCATACATCAATTGTGTTGAGCACATATTCCTCACAAATTTCTCACCATTTTATGAGTCTGCCGTATTCAGATCACATCACCATTTGGTTCAGGAATGTATACAAACAGGAATAAATAGGAAAATGTGAGATATTTGAATTTCGCGGTCAAGAACCAACCCCAGATAACTTGGAGGCTCCAACTGAAAAGGTAGGGCAAAATCGGAGGGAAACCTTTCATGGTGGAAAGACAAAGGTGAGTTCCTCTGGCGCAGCGTTTCTATTTTTGCTCGTTCTGCGCAACACCAAGTTGCGTCACAAACGGGACCACTACACGGGACCACTACACGGGACCACTACACGGGAACTCCATGGAAAAGCCAGACCAGACGCTGGCCGCCATGTTGCATGGACAGCGAGAAATGTTGAGAAACATTTAAAAAGAGGTTCAAATTGACCAAAAATAATACGATGACGATGCACAGGATTCAATATTTAAAAGAAATGCTTAATAAATCTGTTTCAATGTCTTGTAACGAGGTGATCATTTTGGTGTCTGGTTGTATTTAATATTCCCGCTACAATTGTGACGCAAACTGGTGCCTGAAGCCCATCGGCTGAAATCGGATACGATGCGCAAGAGACCCCCCCCCCTGAAACCTATCCCTTCAGCCAGCACTACTCCCCTTCCGCACCCCTCACTCCTTTAGCC